AGACGAGGTCTCACTGTGTAGCCTGGGCTGGCCTCTAATTTGCAGTAACCTTCCTGCCTCAGTCTCCTGAGTGCTGGGATTATAGGCATGAACCTGGCATGTCTGATTAACTTGTGGAAAGTCACGTAGCAGTAACTGTCAGAGCTGTAATTCAAACTCAGGCTCCTCTGACTCCAAAGTGCCCTTCCTGTTCCTCAGCTCTGCCTGCCACTCTACAGCACAGGAGGCCTCAGGGGGTCTGAGGGAAGTGGTGGTGGGGAGAGGCAATCCACTGGAAGACCTGGGAATCCCTTTCTACACCACTGGGGAGCTCCTTCCTGTGGGCCTGCATCATTGCTTACCCCTTAGAAATGGCAGAGAGTAGAGTTGGCAAGTATAGAGTTGTTTTGTTTTAATTTAGTTTAGCTGAGTTTTGTTTATTTGTTTCAGCATTTGCTCTCATGCCCATCTGTGACTTGCTGTTCCCCCAGTGGTCTGTGTTTGTCCACACCACAGTGGCTTCATGGATGGCAGTCTTCTGCCTGCTAGACTTGTACCACTCCCCACTCTCCGTCTTCCAGGGAAGCCAGCTCTTCCTCCCTGTCTTCCTGCCTCAGCAGGCAGAAGGAAGTGTCCTGTTATATGTGGTGCTTTGGAACATTTCTTGTAGTTGGAGAGTATCATGTCTTATTTATCACTTTCACTGGGCATTGTGGAACTTCTTGGCTGGGCAGTATCTAGTCTTAGCCCCAGCCCGGATGCATTAAATCAGAACCTGGGGTGAGGAGTGAGGCTGCTGTAAATTGGCAGGCTTCTTGGGGCACTCTTCTTTCACCCAGCCCGAGCACCCCTGGCCCCTGCCAGGCCCTCATCTAGCTCCTAGTACTCCTGGAAATGCCTGGAAATGCTGCAGTCCCTCCCCTTTACAGATGCTCCCTCCTGAAGCCATGTTTGTCCTGCTGAAGGCATTGGCCACTCTGTATGGGGCTCCCCCTGGGGGGCCAGACAGGTCTTCTGGCACTGTTGCTTCTGCTGCTTATATTTGCTCCTTAATCCAATAAAACTTGGACAATTTTGAGAGGATAGGAACTTCATTCATGCTTTATCCATCCATTATCAATGTATTGAGTGTACATAATATACCTTTGAACAATTTGTGTCCTGCTAAAGAAAGCGTTACAGCCCTCTGAGAGGCAAGGCTGTGCGTGTCTTCACTCGTGTGTGCAAGCCCAGCTGTGTATGAGCATGTGTACAAGTGTGTGTGCTAACACCACGTGCTTAGATGGTACCAGGATTCTGAGTGACAGCACTGTTTTGCTGGGCAATTGAGGAAGGTCTTGGGGATGGGCAGAGCGGCCCACATTTTGAATGTTTGGGTGGTTGTCCGTAGGGCAGGAGCTGATGCTCTTGGCTGACCTGTGAAAGGGAGGGAGGGACTAGGGGCCTTATCCTGAGACTGTTCTTCCTGGGAGGCTACCTTCAGGTTCATTCCATTTATTTATCACTTGTTCATCAAACACCTAATAAGTACCTATTATTAGGGGCATAAATTTTGAATTGCAGACCAGTGATGTTAGCTGGGAGCTTGTTAAACAGGCAGCTTTCAGCAGCCCGCTCTCAAATGTACAGAGTCGGGGTCCCTGGGGATGAGGCTCATGAGTGTCTGTTATGACAGCCTCTCCGGGAATGCTCACGTATGCTGCAGTACAATAACTCCTGCTCCCGAGTGCAGGACTGTCCGTCTTCATCTCTGCTCTCCCTAGACATCTGTGGACTCCTGTGTGCTGGGCTGTGTTAGGGACTGGGAATGTGGGGGGATGGGTCAAGGGAAGCCACGCTGGAGGCGTCAGTGGTACATGCAGGTAAAGATGACCAGCGGGACAGCAGATACCCACCTGCATCTCAGAAGAAAAGTCCAGGCTGTGAAGGTTATTTTGGAAGTCATCAGCAGGTGGGTGGAATGACTAAACCTCTGAATGCATGGAAAGACCCACATGCAAGTCAGGGAGGTTGTGGCTCGGCTGACCAACCCAAAGCCAGGTGTTCTGATGATTCTGGCCTGGGGGCCCACTTGCCTGCCACTGAGGTGACATGCTGGCATTCTCACTCTGCAAGTTCTGGCCATTGGGACAAGGCACTCCTCTCATGGCACTGAACACTCAAGGTACCATTGCTCTTGGGGTCTCTTGGGATGGTTTCATTTGCAGGATATTGCCTTCTTTTTCCTGCTTCCCAGGGGGCAGCATGGCACTATGAGGGAGCCTTGATAGGAGGCTTTCTAGTGATCGTGAGGAAGTCTGGGTGGTGCTCCCATGGGTACTAGAGAATGCCCCACCCTTGAACATTGTTCCCTGGCCTGTGTAGAGTCAGGTCTGTATGGAGCAGGGCTTTGGCTTGGGTAGTGCTGTAAACTTGATTCAGGATTTACTTTTAGAGAGGGAATTCTGGTTTCTGGCATTGCCCTGTACCAGCTACAATCTGAGCCCTAGACCTCCATCACATGGTTTTTGGAAACTGTGTTTGGTCATCAAATGGTTAATACACATCTAAGCATAGGTCAGATTGCATTGATGAGTTCGTGCACCAAATTTCCTATTAAAAGAAACAGACCTTTACTGGGAGGAAAGGAAATGCCCACCATTGTTAGTTTCCTAGCTGGAAAATTCTTTGTGATCCTGGAGAGCTTAGAAAAATATGTGCTGTAGTTCCCTAACATCAGAGCTGCCCTCCCTGCAGCCTGTGGCCTGCTACCACCTGACTCTCCCCAACAGCATTTATCCAAGGGCTTTCACTGCTGGTGGTCATCAGGTTATCTGTCCAGACCAAAGGCCAGCTGGTGCTGGTGTTTTTCTGCAGTTCCACAGCGGATGCCTCCCAGTCTGTGTTCTGTTCCCTTGGGTGGCCTAAGACCCAGCTGCCCACATGGCCAGTGCTGCTGGCCCCGCCTCAGCTCACAGCCTCCCGAGTGGGGGGATCTCTGTACTTCTGCTGCAGGGAGGTGGCCTGGCAGTATTTCTGTGCTCCCACCTTTGGGATGGGGATGTGTCCTTCTGTTCCTTGCTTGTGGCTTTGTCAGTAGAGAGGGCTGCACTGGGAACAGGGAAGTACCTCCCCATGACACCGACCGTAGCAGCAGCTTTTATTTGGGGGCAGCCCAGTCCTCGTGTCGATCCTATGCTTGTGTTGTTTCCCACAGCAAGTGAAATATTTGAAATATTTCCTTCCCTTGCCCAGCCCCGCAAGTGGGTAGATGTGGGCAGACAGTTTATGTCTTTGGTGCTCTTGACTTTGGGTTTCAAGCAAGCTGATCACAGGTTCATCCTTCTATGGGGACTTAGTTAACCCACTGATTTTTGTCATTTCAATTACAGGAGCCCAATTTAACATGCCCCCCTTAATATTTTGAAATTACTCTCCTCAAAAGTTGTGCAGTTGCGCCGTGGGCCCAGGTGGGCAGTGCTGGTGCCACTTCTGAGCTGGCCTTGCTCGCAGCAGGGAGGCTGAGATGGCAGGGAGGCTGGGTGCCTCCTTTGAAGGTGGCACCCCGTGCCCCCTGCAGTCCTGGCCCCTGAAAGCACTTTAAACTCCTTGGCCCACGCCCTGCTGCTCCAAGGGCCTCGGTGGAGAGAGGTCTGAGCGTTGTTAGCTGGGTTTTGATTTCAGTACTGGAGTTGATAAAACGAGATAAACCCCAGGCTCACTAGGGCCGTGGAAATTAAACAGAGATGATATCAAAGTTCCCCTGAGTTTTCAGCTGTGATACAGTAGCTTAGTTTTCTCCCAGACTGGGGCCGCAAGGCAGGCCTTTGATTCTGAAACAATGTTCAGCATCAGCTCAGCCCAGCACTGCTGACTTTTAGGGATTAAGCACACTGTTGTGGTAATTCTTTGATCAGCTACAAGGGAGCAGCGTGCCCTCTGGGTGAAGGGGGTTCATAGTTAAAGTTCATTTCTCTGTGAACCTGGATGACAGCACCGGCGAGGGCTTCCCCCAGCCCTGTCTGCCGTGCTGCAGGCTACAGCAGGCAGCTGGCCTCCTCCCAGCCCTGCCTTTCCCGCAGCACTTGAGGACCATGGCAGGGAGACAAAATCCTCCTGCTGAGGAAACACTTCAGCTGGACCCTCCCCATCTTACCCAGTCCACACACACGTGTGCACGCACACAATGCATATGCACGTGCACACTTGGCCGAACATACACACTCTCACTCTCCTGCCTTGGGGAGAAAAGTCTCAGGGAGACCCAAGAACAGCTGCCCGGAGCGGGGTCTTGGAATGGTCTAGGCTGTGAGCCTGCTCTGGGGAGAGGTTGGATGGGAATTGATAACCGGAGAGGCTAAACTAGGGTAGCCCAGGGTCATTGTCACCGTGCCCAAGAGCAGACATGACTCACAGGTGCCCCATACTTTCGTTCCTTAGCTGGCCTGTGTTGAGAACCGACTTGATTTCAGACGGGCTAAAATGCCAAAGTTCTGGAAAACAAAATCTCAACATCTGCTATCTCACCACCCAGACTGGGTCTACGCTTGGCTTTCCCCGTAGAGACCCTCGTTGCAGCCACATCTGGATGGCGCAGGTTTCCCCATTTGGCTCCCCTCCTCGGGTTGGCCCCACCACTCGCTGTGGGTAATGGAGCCCCTGTGTGCTGTGATCTTGCATGTGCAGGGCCGTAGATCAACCTGTTCCCTCCCGTGCTGCGCTCGGATCTCCCTCATTAGGCCTGAATTTACCTCCGTCCTACACAAACATGGCCTTAGCTCATTTTTATTGTTGTAAATTATTTATGAGGGGAATGTTGAATCTTGAAACTGAGGTGCGAGGAAAATTAATCCCATGTTACTTTTATCTTTCTGTACTTTTCTCTCCCTTGCTTGACTTATTGAGCTATGGCCAGAGAAAAAAGAGCTTTGGCATTTTAAAATATAATTAGTGTTGAAACCGCTTTCCCGATTGGGCAGTGTTGGGTTGTGTGCGCGGAGTAATGCAAAGCGGCCCCGGACTGGGGAGAAGCGCGCCCCTGCTGGCTGCGCCCACGTGGTGTCTGAGCACTTCGGCTCTCAGTTTCCTCCGCTGTGAAATTGAGATAGCACGGCCCAGCCACCTGCCAGGTCTGATGTGCGAGTTAACTGAGAAGGAGCATGAGGAAGCTTCTTGACATTTGCAAAGCGCTGTAGGAATACAACAGAGGTGTGTTCACATGTTCTGTGCAGTTAGGATGTTGAGATGCATGTGGGTGCGGAACAGGAGGAGATTCCATCTCCCCCTAAGATAGGAACAGGCGTTACTCGAAGGCAGCCTCTGAAGTTTATGTTTTAGCCAGTGTCGCCTCTTGCCAGGCAGGTTAATGTTGGTCGTAGGCACCCCACTCCCCTACCCTGCCCTCCCTGCCCCACTCAGATCTGCTCTGTGGGCTCGCACTCCTGGCCTCTTCCTCCCCCTGGCCTGTTCCTGGGCGGCTGAGTTTGGCGGTGCCATCCCTTCTGGCTCGAGGCTCCAAGCAGCCAGGGGAAACACAGAGTGCTAGTTAATAAATGGCCTTTTGTTAGGAAGGTCAATTGAAGTGACGGTGGAGACGCTGTTAAAAGTAATTTGAAATCAGAAAATATGTAATTCAGGGCAAGCAGCTTTGAGCGATGGCCTCTGCCATGGATATCTTGGGCGTTTCTCATTAAAAGCTTCCTTGGCTGGTGGTGGGGCTTCCTCCACCGCAGTGGAGTGGGCCGCAGCCCCGCACCGAGAGCAGCCATTTGTCTCTGTTTCACAAAGGCTGCCTCGTCCCCAGGGCACCAACTGGGGGAAGGGGGACGGGGAAGGGGCGGGTGCGCGCGGAGATGCGCTGCGCTTGGCCGGCCCCCGGCTGCTGGGCAGGCTGGGCGCCCGCCCTGGCGCCCGGCTCTTTGTCTGCCTCAGCTGGAGGCCGCCTGCAGCCATCTTGGGAGCTGCTGCTGGGCCGTCTCCGCGGGAGCATCCCGGAGCATCCTTTCCAAGAGAGCGATTTGCCCTCCTGCAATTGATAGTGTGCGGCAGAGCAAAAGAGCCCGTTATCATCAGTACCTGGCTGCGCATATTGTGACCGGAGGACATGAATCTATCAGCAAATAAGATATTTCTTAGGCTTGGCTTCTCTCTCCCTGCCTTTCTCTCTCCCCTTCCTCTTCTGTCTCCCTCCCTTTCCCTTTTTTTCAGCTTTTTCTTTCTCCCCTATCTCTGTCTCTGATAGTAAAGGCAGTACTATCTTAAAAAAAACACTTCACCTCACATGTTCTTTATTAAATTCACAGCGTGATGTTTAGCACTGGCAGAATCCTTACATTCTGTTAATGAGTTGTTAATTGCAAAGCATTTTTGGTAACCAGCAGCAGTTACCAATATTTTGCAAACTGCAGCAATGTTATGTTCGTGTTCCCAATAATAGAGAATTTTTCAAGTGCAGGCACTTTTTGATCAGCGCGTGCTTTTGGATCCGGCAGGTGCATATATTTAACTCGAAACCTGTACTGGGGGCATGCATGCGTAGTCACTCAATAAATATTTACTCAGTGCCTACTGAGTGCGGGAAGCACTAAGCCTTTGCTTTATGCAGATAAGCCCGGCTGGTGAATGAAATTGGAAAATAGGAAATGATACAGTGATTCGGTGTGGTCTCCACCCCCTGCCCTGGCCCTCTCTAAGCTTGTTTTCAGTAGAAGTAAAGCCTGCTTAGTTTCTCTTTTGTCACACACAGAAGCGGAGAAGGCAGCTGTGCCAGGCACCTCCTAGCTTTGATTGGAGACTTGGCTCCATTGCATTGACAAGCCTCTTCCTTGAGTCTTTTGTGGATTCCACTGACTACATGGGTGACTTGTATGCAGTATTTCGATTGTTCCTATTTAGGGAGCTGCAGTAATTTTTAGTGGCCCTCTACCTTTTGTAATTTTAGGCTGAGAGGTAAGAATGCTCTTCCTTAGGGTATTTGGTTTGTTTTCAAAGCAGTAACCAGCCCTGAGAGAGCTGGCAGATCTACAGCCAGTGGAGTTTAATTGCTGCAGAAGGAGGTGGAATTTAACTTGCTCTTTTTCGCTGCTTGTCCTTGTAAAAGTACTTAAATTCATTTACATAAGGTGTTGCCTTTTTTATTTGCTTCCTGGTGGCACGGCCACTCTGGCTGCCCAGGCCAGGCGCTGTCCACATTGCACCTGTCTCTTTTGGTCCTGTCAAGAGGCTGCAGCAGCAGAATAATAATTCCACCTGTGCCCCCCTTTCCTCCAAAGTGCTCGGCAAGAATTAGGGTCATTGTTTATATTTAGCTTTGAGTAAGTGCCCACATGACCCTTGCACCACAGACCTCTCTAGGACCCTCATTACATCAGCTCTCTTAGATCTTGCACCAACTCTGAGGGTGTTGCTATCACGGCCTCACTTTATAGGTGAGAAAATTGAGTTTCTAAGAGGTTAAATTTCTTGCTTAAAGTGACCAGCTAGCAAGTCATGGAGCCCGGACTCAAACACTGTTCCTCTGCCCCATGCCCAGAACACTGTCATCTCCATGTTTGCAAAGCTCCTTGCATGTTTGCAGAGCTCTGCCTGCAGAAAATCCAATCTCAGCATGGTTCGGAAGCCTGTACCTCCATAAAGCAGGATCAAAAAAGAAGAGAAACAAAAGCTGTAGACTTAGGTATGTTTGATTTATCCTCAGAGGAGCTACTGGTATCTCTTCAGAAATTAGGCAGCCGGGGATGTAGCTCAGCAGTGTAGTGCCTGCCTGGCAAACATGAGGCTGAGTTCCATTCCTGGTACCAAAAAAAAAAAAAAGAATGATGAACTTTGGGGCTTGTGTCAGAATACCTCCTGAGCTCAAGGATTGTCCAAAGCTTACTTGAGAAGAGCAAGGGTCAGAGTAGAGGATAGGGTCAGTTGCCCCAAGGTTCTGGTTCTATCTGTGTGTATTGCTCACGTGGAACACTGAATTTTGTGCTTTCTTTTTCCTTTTCTGAACCAGGAGCAAGCCACCATGCCTGAAGTTAAAGACCTTTCAGAAGCCTTGCCAGAGACTTCGATGGACCCCATCACAGGAGTTGGGGTCGTGGCTTCCCGGAACCGAGCCCCAACGGGCTACGATGTAGTAAGTCAGGACACTAGTTTGTATGTTTTGCTTACTGACTGAACAAATATTCACTTCCTGTATCCGGGACTCTCTGGCCTGTGCGTAAGGTGTGCATCTTCCCTCTAGGAACTTAAGATAATCAGAGCGGGGTCATGGCCAGTGTCCTGGCTGGGGAGTCAGCAGACCTGCGCTTGCCAGGGCTGTTTCCTGGCTTGGGCTGTGGCTGAGCCATTTGACCTCTGTGATGATCATTTTCCCCTTCTGTGAAATTAAGAGGTTGGATTCATTGACTTCCACAGTCACTTCGAGGCATGACATTTCATGAAAATGATCCAGGACTCTATGAAAGACTACCTGTGAACTCATTTAGACTTCCCAGAAGCCCAGGAAGGCAAGTAGCTTTATCTCCGCTTTGCTAATTGGGAAGACCCAAGCCCAGAGACATGCCGGACAGAGTCCTAGTCCTTGGTTACAGTAACTAAGTAGGACCAGCCCTCCTCCCAGGTCAAGTGCAATGACAAACCACAGCACGACAGTCTACCAGAGAGCTTCCTTGCTTTTCAGCAGACATTTGTGCTGTGTTCAGTAGTCCTGTGGGCTGGGACTGGTTATTTTGTTGTTTCAATAGATAAATTCCAACTTAGGTAGAGCTTAGAAAGTGCTGAGTGACCTTAGGAGGGTACAGTAATGACTATCATCATGTGTTTTTGAGATTCTAAGCTGATCTTATTTTTACTTTGCTCATTTTGTTTATGACAACATTTTATCCTTCTTCTTTGAAAATGTGCACTAGGAATACATAAAAATAGTGACTAGATTAGTGTCTGCTATTCCTGGGTAGAAAGGCTCAGACGCCTGGTCTTAGAGAAGCCCCAAGGTAGGGATTCTCAACCTCAACACTGTTGACATTTGGGGCCAGATAATCAGATAATTCTTTGCTGTGGGCCTCTCTTGTGCATCTAACAGTGTTCAGCAGCATCAGCAGCATTCCTGGCCTCTGTCTAGTTAATGCTAATAGCAGGTGCTCGTTCTCCTTCAGAGGCAACAGTCAAATATGTCTCCAGACATTTCCCCATGTCCCCAAGAGGAAATGGCGGGTGGGCACAATCAGCTTCCAATGGAAGTCACTGCAGACAAAGGAGGTTTGTACTGGGCCCATCAGCACTGGTTCCTGGGTGTAGACCAAGGATCCTGTTAGAATGTTCCACATCACTTTCCCAACTGTTTGAAAGCTTATAAACATTTTTTTTTCTTTTGTTTTTTTGGTACCGGGGATCGAACTCTGGTCCTTGCGCCTGTGCAGCAGGCGGCGAAACCACTGAGCTAAATCCCCGGCCCACTTATAAACATTTTAAAAGTGAAAGGACAAAGGGATCTTTTTTGACAAAGATTTGAGTCTTACCTGCTGCCTATCTTCAAAGCCCCATTGGAATGTATAACTTTCCATAAAATAGAATCATTAGGTATGGCGTTGTGCCATAAAACTCTTGGGGAAGCTAATAAAAACGTTCCTGATTTGAGAGGCCAAAGTGTCTTTTGATGAATTAGGTCTGAGGCAGTGCGTCGTGAATCAAGGCAGGACTGGCTCGTGGTCTGTGGGAGGGCGGGCACCAGGGTCCCTCTCCCGGGGGCCTCACAGGGAGCTCCAGCCCTGGGCCTGGGTCTCAAGTCTCCCTGCCGTTCTCTCGCCGATCTGTATCTGTAACATTGTGTTTGTACCTTTGGGGTCACTGCGAATACTTGGCCAGTGGGCGGCTGATGCCCTTTGACAGTTTGGTTTTCTGAAAGTCTTGGTAAGCCTGACAAGAGCACAATCTATCCCTATCATTTTCTCCTAACATTGCACTCAGTTCAGAAGAGCGCAGTGTCAAATGGATGAAATTAATAAGCACATTTCATGATCACGCTGTACCATGCATTTTAGTGGAAGGTGAGCAGGGCAAGGGGCTTGAGCTAGCTCGCCTGGTAATTACCCAGCCTGCAGGCTCCCTCTAAGAGCCCTTCCAGAGAGAGGGTTAGAAGGTGGGAGTGAACTCTTTGTTCTGGCCTCTGGCCTCTTTTCAGATAAGCCTCTTGTTCCCCAGAGGTCTGGTCCTGTGTTCAAGAGTTCAAGGGGAATGGCGTGGAGGGCAGGGTGAGAAGAGGTATTTCCCCCTATTTTCATCTGTAGTTTCATATTAAGTCAAGATCCAGACCAAAGTGCGGGGTGTGTTTTGGTGGCCAGCTGCAGGAATGCCAAGGCAGAAGTGCAGAGGACGAGGGAGCCCGGTGCTAACCGTGTCGAGGCCCCATCTGCCTGTTGCGTCTGCTGTAGGATTAATCTCTCCCTGCACAGAGTAGGCTAAGCAATGTGACCCCGAAGTCCTGCACCAGATGGGCTGCTGGCCCTGAGCTCCACAGCTACTTCAAAATGGGCTTAGGTGTTATTGCTGTTTGAAGTAAAAGAAGCCAAGGGTTCATTTATAAAAATTTAATTTCATGATTTCCCTTCTCTGTGGATCAGGGAAGCTTCTCTGGGTAGGGCCTGGGGACTATTTATTAAACTTCTCAGTTTATTGTTCCTATTTCTGCAGTCTTCCCTGCATCCCCCACCCCCTTGTGTCCTGTAGCCACATGCTCAGATCCGGGCATGACTAGGGCTGCCAGTCCCTGCTATCAGAGATCAGGCTGAGCCTGTGGTTCTTGTAATGCCACAGTGCATGACATGATGACTGTGCTGCAGGTGGCTGGCGTTTGCCAAAGGTACCGTGTGCCATTTCATCATCAGTGGATGGTTCATTTCTGGAGGATTGCAATGCCACTAGAAGTACTTCGTGGTATAGCCTCTGTGTACAGTATTTAACCTTTGATTTCCAGCTCACTCTGGATATTGCAGTGCCTAAGAGGTGTCAAGCTGGACATCACTGAGGATCATTGTTGGTTGTATTTCTGTGTATCTCCAATGACATACATCCTACCTTTTATATACACCTATTTACCATTTAAACAAGAGCTTACAACTCGAGTCTACAACACTATATGTACAAGATGACTGTCCCATCACACCTGTGAGCCCACTTTTCCATATTTCTAACATGCCTACATTCTCTGTCATAGGGGGGAGGGGGTAAAAGAATTACTCATCCTTCAAAATGTAATTCACATAGCTCCTTGGTGAAACTTTTCCTGGCCAATGCTCATTTATTTACTGATTGGCTCCACAGATATTTATTGACCATCTCTTACTATACAAGGCACCAGAAGTCCAGGATTCTGGGTGAAGTTGGACTCTATAAGGTGAAAAGTCAGAGGTGAAGACAGGCAAACGGATGGTACCCAGAGGTGCAAGCCATATTGAGTTTGGCTATTATTATTTTCATGTATGTGTCGGGGAGTCAGTAAAGGATTTGAAGGAAAAGAAGTTCTTAGTCTAATTTGTATTTCTATAGTTCAGGGATGTGTAGAGCAAGGAAATAATTGGAGGGGCTAGGCATTGATGCAGTGGCTGAGTTTAGAGGCTATGTATTAGTGCACGGGGAGGTTGCTCACACCAGGCCATGGAAAGAAGGAAATGGAAGTAGGTAGATGGGAACCGAGGTCATATTCTTGGACAGAAGAAAGGATTGAGTGTTGGAAGCTGGGTCCAGAGGTGAGGAAAAGGAAAGACCAGAGTGACATAAGGGTCTCTTCCTGGGCAGCTGGGTGGACATTGCTCTCTGTTGAGATAGGAACACAGTCAGGTGAGTTGGGGACAAACAGGGCCAGTTTGGGACCTGTTGTGTTGAAGGTGCTTTGTGACATCCCAGTAGAGTCCTAGTTCTGGGGGTCTGGAGAGAGGTCCTGGGGTCTTGGGGTCTCGGGGTGAGGGTGTGGCAAGAATCAGGCACAACTAGGCTCACCCGGGGAGAGGCTACAAATCAGGAGAGATGGCGTGCCATGCCAGACCCACAGCTGGGTCCAATGGATTGTTGCTGATTGAGGAGGCACAGAGAAGGCCCAGAAGCAGGACTGGGGTGGGTTTGGAGAGCAGGTGGGAGGTGACAGAGAGGCAGAGTGTGCCTGGCCTTTGAGGAAGACGGGCATGGGGAAGGTGGCATCTAGAGGATGATCAGGATCCCTCCCCCTTTGTTTGAAGTGGGCTGGCATGGAGTGTGTTTAGTTGTCTATGGAAAGAAGCCAGAGGTGGGTTCAGAGGCGTAAATTCAGAAGAGGCAGTGACTGTCTGGGGAAGGGCGGGAAGTTGGGGCTGCCAGAGCCCAGTCAGAGGCCCAGGAGGTGAAGTCTGTGGAACTCTTGCTCATTCCTGCAGCCAGGTGCTGGGCAGCTGGCCTTGGTCACAGCCCCTGACCACCATCAGGCCTCCATGGCAGCACGGGGACCCATCACCCCCTAAGTCAGCACTTCCCCTCCCTCCTCATACTCTCCCTCTTCCTCCATCTCCCTTCTTTCAACGTTGTTGAAACTAATGAGGCAGCAAAACTTCTGTCCAAAACTCTTGAGGCTGGATAATTTGTATATGCCCAAAATGTACCTGGAAGTTTTGAATAATTGGAGTTTCAGATGCTTGAACTGTCAGGTAGGAGGGGCCATGGAGGCTCCAGGGGAGATCACCTCCTCTCCAGGCCAGTGGCCTGGTTTGAGATGCACAAGGAAGGATCATATTGAAATCCTAAACCTTACATGAGGGTCTATTTTTCACTTACCAAAGCAGAAAAAAAAGGAAAGAATGAAAGAGACAAGAGAGAGGGAAGGAGGGAGAGAGGAAGAGAGAGAAGCTACTCAATACTGAAACAGTTTGTATTTTTATATAGTGCAGAAGGAACTAAAGAAGGTTATGAAAAGCCCTTGAAGATGGTAACAGTATCTCTGGTCAGAGCATATGGTAGATATCAGGTGGAAAGTGTGAGACAGTCATACGTGTGGTCTGGTCACAGCCGTCACGTGGTCTCCAGAAAGCCTATGTTGTGGTAGGCCACAAGCAGGGCACCCGGAAAACCACCTGGTTCCTCAGGGCCAGAGTACAGTGAGGACCCAGAGCC